CAAAGTTAATTTCAAATTTAAGGTCAAAGTAGGTGAACTGGAAGCAGAATGGAATTAAATAATTTTTACACTTTGGCTACCTTGGCCTTAGATTCAAAACGTACTTTTCATTCCTGACAATTCTTACTGGAGAATAGCCCTGATAGGGTAGTATCAAACAAGAAATGTGATTACTCTACACATAAATCTATAAGGATTCCAAATCAAAGGAAGAAGAAAAATGTATTACTGAAGGTAGTATCATGACAGAGAAATCTGGCCAACATATGGTGCTTAAGGGGTTGAATGGTAAACACGTTTTCACGATTCAATAACAAGAGTGAATGTGGCACACTCACTCCTCCCCAAACCCCCATGCAACTCCAATTAAATGACTGACTCGAACACGAACACGTGTGTTGGAAGTGTGGTTAAAGTTATTTATCAGCTGAATGCTCAGCAGGGAAATGAGATCAGAAACTACCAAGAATAAATATGGCCAAAGAGAGACTACTTTACAAATTGTGCTTTGCATACCAAACGAACTGATCACCAGACAGTCCCTATAGTTCAGCAAAGTGTAAAAGTCAGGGTGCATCCCTGCATCTTCCTCCCCCCGTTTCACGGATATCACACCAGCACATTGCATCCCTTCCCAAATAGATTATAATCTAATTTTAGGACCTGAGACAGATAAAATGACTTGCCAAAAGGTCACATAAAGTTAGAACAGGGGCTCCAAAATGATCTTCCCACTTTACTGACAAGCCTTAGAGAAGGGTTGTGGCCGTCTGTGACTCTTCAAATGTAAGAGAACTACAATTTCCATAACCCTTCAGTAGCCTGTTCAGTGATCATAACCAAAATCGCCATAGTTTTTACCAGTAAATGTATTTTTTTTCTTTTAATTAATATTTTTACTATTCATACAACTTACAAATTTGTTTTCTTGGTCACTGAAAATTAAAAATAATTTACCTAGCAAAAAAACAAAAATGTTTGGGGATTCAATAGCAACAAAGGCACTCTTTCAAAATAAGTAAGTATAGTAAGGCAAGATTCCCTGAAGATGTTTTTGAGCTAGTCATGAGTAAGGCCTTTCTTGACCAAAACATATATTTACGGCAACTCTACTCTAATAAAGCAGAGTGATATCCTGCAATATTGTCTCACGCAACATCGCCTTTCAATATTATTCCAATGGTACATGGTGGGATAGCAGTGCGAATTCCAAAAGATCAGATAAAATTATTTTACTGAAATGCATAGTATGAGACAAAACAAAAAACTGGGTTTACAATAACACGTTTTGAGATGTATTCCATTTATTCTGTGATAGTTGCTACATAGTAAGCTTTGACAACCTTTGCCCAGTCAAGGCTTCTCACAGCAAGATCCTTGTTTTCACATGCAGAGTATACAGAGGAAACCCAAACTAAGTAACATTGTATCAATTTCACGTGAACAAAAATAATAATAAAAAAAAAAAAAAAAATGGTTCCCAACAGTGTAAGAATGCCAGTTGCTGACTGCCATTAACGCATGCCCCCTTGCCATATAAGCTATCTGGCCACGAGTGTTTGAATTAATCTTCAAAAGATGTTTGTAACTTTTACACCACCAGTGGAGTGCATCATTTTTAAGATTGATTATACTAAAGAAACAAAAAAAACAATAAGTGTCAATAACAGAAATAAAATAATGAAAGTGAACTTTTTATTTCTTGAAAGCAAAACAAAATGAAATAACTACTTGGAAACAAATTCTTAAATTGATAAGATTTTCAAAAAGCCAAGAATGTGAAAGCTATTATTGTACTATATTCCGTTGTAAATAATGTGTCAACTTACTGCTCTGCCAATAATCCGTCTGCTCAGGTATCGAAACACAAGGAAAAAAAACTTTCACGAAAACAGAGGCCTGAAAATGACTTTGTCTGTTAAAATGTAGTTGTAATTAGCAGTAATTATTATTTATGTTTGTTTGGGATGCACTAAGGACAGAAAGGGGAATTTTAAAACCGCCCTCCTGCTCTCTGCTGACTTGCAAAGGATTTCCATGACTGTTATTTTCCATCAAGGGATGTTGCAGCACACAATCGCAATTTTTTTTCCTTCACACTTATTGTACGGGCACAGTGATCCATCAAGGCTTGGATAGAAAGTTTGGGCCACCTTTATAGAAAATACTGTTGCCTACTGTAAAACCTTTGTCTGTGTGGCTGTATGTATTCAGGAATACAAAATTCCTACTTGAAGCCCTGGTGAACTCTCCTACTTCATCAAAAGTGAAAAATGAAATTTTACCCTAGTGTGCAGTAAATAATCTAGACCAGGGGAAGGCAACCTATGGCATGTGTGCCATGCACGGCACTCAGGGCTGCTAGAGTCAAACAGGCCTCTCTGTCCTATCAGGAGTCCCAGTGAAACTTCAGATATCTGCTAATACGAAAAGGTGGTGAAGGACAATCCTCAGTTTATGCATTGCAGCACGTGGAGGAAGCGATTTCAGATCATTTAATTCCAGCACTTGTGAATGTGAATCCACACTGGAGTAGAGCAGCCCGCAGCTGCTGTTGCAGCTCCTTACCTTGACCTGTACCTGGCCAGCCTGGTTCCCACTGGAACCCAGGGAAGCCACCCAGACTGCTAGATGTACACAGATATGCAGAATAACCCTCCCCTCATACAAATAATACAAACAGCCCACAAACAAACATACACACAATCCACACGAACGCAACACATACTAACAATCCACATACATGCACACAACCCCACATGCAATACCCCAAACAGCCCCTCACATACACACACTACCAAACACACAATGTGACATATCCATCCACACACAATTCCACAAGCAGCACCCATACACAGCCCACATTCATAGGTATCATACACAACACCACAAACTACTTGTGAACATATACAATGTAATAGCTCATATATGCACAAATACAACGATACAAAACAACTGCAGTATAAATAACACAAGCAGAATACGGCAACATACACACCTCAATTTTTAGAAAAATAGGACATCACATTCTTATTTCGGCACAGTGCTGCTAAAAGGTTGCCTACCCCTGATCTAGACTATATCACTATAGTTGCTGCTAAACTACAATGTCTGACAAATCTAGAGCATCTGATCAAGAATTTTGGACCAACAAGAGACATTAAGCTATCTCATATATTAGTCCAACTGTATAGCACGACAGAATAGATGAGGTCTATATAAATATAGAGAAGTATTAATTCCTCATTCTCCAATCAATCCTTTAATGATAAAATAAAAATGTTTAATTAATTTGTTACAGTTTGTTAATATGAGCACAGACTCAACCCTGCTCTGTAGCATTACAAAACAAATTAACAAGGGGAATCTGAATACAAGATGTCTCGTCCAAGAGTTTTTCCATACAGGGTCATTAAAGCCAACGAAAGACCAGCAAATAAGAAAAAAATAGACCAACACTAAAAACAGCAACAACAAAAAAAAGCAATGCAAAATATGTAACATTAAACAGGTACCTCCACAGTTTTAGTTTTGTATGTATGGAAATCAATAATGTACTTGTAGTTGTATCAAGATCTAACATTAATAAAGTGACTCAAGTTCAAATATTTCAGATAATAGAGAAACCGATACGAACAAAAAGTAACAAAAAAAAAAAATCTTGTGTTTTAAGATAGGCAGATATTAAAAGGTAAAAATTATAATTGTGCTGTACAGGTGTATCAGCATTCCAGGAGTGCATAATTATAGTACTGTCACTTTAAATTGCTCCAGGCACCAACTGTCTTGTTGGGGTTTGAATTTAAAGAAAACAGACAGAGAAAAGTAGAGCATATAAAATGTAACATAACTTTATTCCTCTACATAAAATGATGCTTACTAAAAGCGATTGTGAGAAAATAAATTCCCCAAAACACTTATTGTGGGTGCAATGTTAAGATCAGATTATGTAAATTGAGGATGAAGTTTAAAACATTCTATGAAGGAATGGACTTTGAAGACTTTCACTACAAAACCTTGATCAAGAAGTCATTTTGTAGACTGTGGTGAAATTAATTTTGAAGATTAGGAACCTCTCGTTATCTCAACTATTTGGACTTTGGTCACTACGTCAATACCTGATCTCACAAATCTATATATAAAATGCATATTGCTCCTCAGATATTTTTTCTTTTTTTTTTTTTAACTGTTTTCGAATAGAACATTTGCGATATATAAGATTAAAATTGCCAATAAAAATAAAGTGATTTCCAACAGCAAGAGACAATGCCAGAAAAGTTGCTACACAGCAGCATTGAGAGTACAAGCGTTACTAGACTTTTGAGACTATCTTTTTGGAATTAATCATTTCGACACTTTTAGAGATTTCCTTCTTCATGTTGTACAGAAATTAATATATATATATATATATATATATATATATATATAAAATGTGTTAACATACTGAGGATATCCATGAGTAAGCAACCCCAGAATGAACAGCATATTTGCATGCAGGGTATTGAGTTAAGAACAAGCTCTCTGAATACCTGGATTACATTTTGATGTCTAATAAGTCTAAAACCGTATACTTTTGTTTGGAAATTTGTATAGATTTGTTTTAGTCAATATTTTTGTAATGCACAAACAAAAAGTGGAATTATTTTACAAAAAAATTGTGCATGTCAAAGTACAAAAGGTAGGGCCACAAAACCAAATTTTACGAAGGCAATACTTTTGAAATTAAATAACAAGCAGTGTTAATCAAGTAACAGATGTCACTGTCACACCACCATGCCATAACAGATTCATTACATGCCAGAGCAGAGTTGTGCAGCCTGCAAGCTGTTTAACTACATATTCCATCATCCTGCCTCTGATAGGCAGTGTTCTCCAACAACACTTGGAGGTTGCACAAGCCTATGCCAGAGCAAAATTGAAAGTGGGGAAGTGGCGGAACCATACAAGCGGTTGAGAGTTTCTGCTCTTTTCTTTTAGGAATTTAAGAGAATGAACCTTACCGCGAGCAGACAACTTTTTGGTGTTGATAATCTTTGCGGCATACTCCTGGCTGGAAGATTTCTTCACACATCTTCTTACTACAGAAAAGGCACCCCTTGAAAAAAAAAAAACACAATATAGAAAACAGTTGAGAAATCATAACAAGAATAAATTCTAGAACATTTACATGATATTTAATGCCAGTATATTGTTTTGTTCTTCAAAACCTGTAATTTAATACCGGCTTTAAAATAAGGGCACTATAGTTATAGCATCTATGTCTTTTACAGGTACATTATCAGAAATCATAGGATAGCTACAGAGTAGTAGATCTACTACAGATGCATCATTCAATGACATTGGGCAAACGTGTACCATTCCTCTGGATGTCGTATTAACCTCTACAAACACCAAGCGAAAATGCAATAAAAAGCCAGATTAAAATTCTTGGTTAGCTGGTTGGCAACGTTAGTGTTGCAAGGCAGCTTGTGTATCAATCTTTACACCATTCACCAGCAGTAATATATATTATTTGGTAAAGATTACATGTTAACCTTAATAGGTGGGTAAAACACAATGGTTACACCAGGGTGGATAGAAGGTAGATCCCCAGATGTTGTACAATATTCTAAAGGTTAGTAAAGAATCATGGCTGTTGTTTTACAACATCTGTGTGTGTGTACATCTTACCTGCCTTTCACTAAAAGGAGATTAGTTCAGACTATTTTGTCTTTGACCATAACCACATTAGTGATTTCAAGTGGTTATGGTGCCTGGAGTATGTATATGCTTAGCATGTATAGCATTTTGTTATGAACGCTGTACATGGTGCCGCTAGTGTATCTCTGCCTCCAGCACTGTAATTGGGGCAGAACAAGGAATTCCGGGCTAGCTAATGTCTATTCTGTACATATTCGATGTCTGACATCAAAACAAACAGGATGAGGGTGATTAAATGGTACAGCCCCTATCCCTCCATGTCCTCCCCTCTGCCTGTTCTCCCCCCTACATCTCTCTAGTGGGGAAGTGACCAGAAGAGGATCAGTCTGCAGGGAGAACTTGGCCTCGGTGCTGAAATAGAATTCTTTTTTTTTTTTTATGTTAAATATTGTAGGGCAGGATAGGAAGAGTTGCTTTTGGTTTTGCTTGGCCTTTTAAATCCACAACTAATTAAATGATCAGGAATATATGTAACCATATAGGAAAAACTCTCACAGACACTGATAATTCACAATTTCTAGTTTCATATTATCAATGTGAATTATCAAGCTTGGGTGACAGCCTTTGAGAGTTTTGAAGATGGCTTAGCCTAGCATTTTTAGCCTATCAATGTTACCCAGGCTAAACAAAATTGAAATTGTTAAAGTGGAAGTGTTAATTTCACATTGTCAATACAGCCAAGATAGGAGCAGTACCTGGAAGCCATATGATTTCCTATTTGACCATGGTAAACTCCAGGACATGTTGATAACAAACCACCACAGTGATCTTAGAATATCCTTTTAATCCATGCTAGAATAATTTGAACCGCTAATGTAGAATCCACTTGTCACCAAGATGGAATCTCATTCAATAGAAAACCCTAGCCAACTATGCAACGTGCGGATTGCTAAAATAAAAATAAGAAAAACCGAAAGATCAAAACATACATATTTTTTTATTTGAATTTTTGAAAATACCCACCCAACTACCAGTACATTGACTACTAAAGGTTAATTATTTATTTTAATATACACCTTGCAAGTGCCAATCACATAAGAAATAAACCGCCTCGAACAGTCAAATGACAATGATTTTTATGTTAAATTTGAAAGGAACTGATTTGTAGTTCTTTATCTTATTATTGCTCTATAACTGAGACCATCAAGAAAAAGAACAAGCTTTTAAGGTCCATTACAAGCCTGCAGATACCAGGATTATTTAGCTATATATTGCATGAGCTGAAGCTAAGGGCCTAGTAGACCAAGGGTGGCTGCAAATCCTTTGTCGACTTGACCATAAGTTGCTCAACTGCAGCCTCCGTGATGCTAAGCCTGACTTAAAGTATCGTGGGAGCTTTAGTTCTTCAACAAACAAGGATCTCCAAATTTGAATGACAGACTTCAGTTAAAGTAGGGATAAAAGAAAAGTCTTCTAGCACATTGAAATTTAAAGGGACACTGTGGCATATGAATTTTGCTATAGTGTACAGCTAACTATTTAGCTGACAGCTCCCCCCTCCTGTGTGCAATAAAAAAAATATATATATAATTTTTATTTTTTATTTTTTTTAAAAAAAGCTTATTTACTTTTGAGACCTTACTGCATCGCTCTCTGTGCAGCCGCCCCACCAATGCTTTCCCATACGGACACATTGTTAGGCTAGGGCACAATAAAGGAACACTATACTGTTAGGAATACAAAACTCTATTCCTATCAGTAATGTCCCTCTGTCTCTACGGTCCCTTTTTCCCCCCACTTACCTGATTACAGGCTCCTCCCACATCGACATGCACATGCGCATCAAGTACATGCATTACAGCTTCACCAGAGGAATGCAATGAATCAATGCTTTCATATGGGGTTTTTGAAGGCACTTGATGTCCTAATGCAAAGCGTGTGGATGTACAGCATTGTTTCACAGAATAAAACTCTGTGTAAATACAGGAAACACCTCTTGTCTAGCACTAGAGGCAGTGTTAACACTAGCTCCTCTAAAATGTAAATGTTTTACCTTGCAGGGCTAAGGGGACAGTGACACTGCATCTAGACCACTTCAATAAGATGAAGTGGTCTGGATGCCTGTAGTGTCCCTTTTATCTATAATGGTTCGGTTGACAATTGTGTTTCTTTAAAGATCCTTCTTATGATAAAGGGATACTTCAAGTACCATAATCACTACAGCTTCTACTAGCGTGAAAAAAAAACAAGATCTCCATTAAGCCATATCAAATATCGCATTGCATAATAGGGAGCAGTGGACTATTTTGTTTTTAAAATAGAATGAAAAAAAGAAGATATTAAGGATATCATTATTAGTAACTTGAAACCATACAGATTACGGAAGCAGCGCACACCCATGAATGCTATCAGCCAAAAATGGGCATTCTGGTTAACCCATTTCCCTGGGACCTCAAAGCACAATTGTTCCGGCACTTAAAAGTTAAGGCTACTGCAACAATTTCTGATAATGACAAAGCAGAAAAGATAAGCTCTACCCAACACATGAGCAACTAGCAGCAAGGTCTGGGGGTTAGCAACAGATGTTTACAGCTTTCTGTCCATATGCTAACAATACTCCCACCCCACCATGTTCAAGACAAGCCTAACAAGGACAGACAGTCAATGAGAGCAGAACAAAGAAGACCGCAAAAAAAAAAAAAAAAGGGGGGGGAGGATTTGACAACTAAATTCTGCAATGCAGTTATCAAGAGGATCTGCTAAAAATAAATAAAAATATTTATTTATAAAAAACACATTTACACTGACACCTGCTCTTAACTCCTTTCAAAGAAGCAGAGCGGTTAACATACGCAGCTGATCATTTTAGCATTGTGTACTAAAATCCAAAATGCTTGGCTCTATGTATGCATGCGTTTGCTTACATCAAGTATGACTTCCTTGTCTAGCTGGCTAGAGGGCTAAGGAGACAGATGAACAGTAGCGTAGTAGTTATAGGTTTAGGGTATGATTGGACAACATATTTAATCTATACATGTTGCAAATTCCAACAATAGCCGTCTGTGGATCATGGGAGTTTTTGTCTCAAAAAAAAAAAAAAAGGCATGAACAGAGTAACAATTATTTTTTTACTAGGGATATCTATGTTGAGTGCTGGGGGGGAGGAACAAATGTGTATCTGACGAGGGTAATTATAATTGTGTTCCCCAAGTGACTTCAGGAGATAAAAGGGTAAAAAATTTTTTTTTTTAAAAACGAAAAAAAAAAAACACTGTTAGAAGTTGTGCAAAAGATTTTCCTGTCTATCAATATTTTATTTAAACTGCTTTATATATTGTCTGCCTTATAACATGAGCTTAAATATTTAACCTCCATGTCCTCCATCTCATGCTTGCACAACATGCGTTCCTTTTTCCTTCCCTTCCTAGAACACACAAAGTACAAAAACCCCAGAGGGCATTGGATCTTTTCCTAAACAGATACTATGTTTAAAATACAGGCTGGTGCTTGTGCACCCAAACTTCTAAAAAGAGAAAAACAAAGAACGAAGAAATACACGGTGCGTAGACACTTCTTAAAATGAACGTGAATGCCTATTAGGGCAGTGATAGTGCAGCTGGTGCATAATGTACCCAACACACCAATCCTTCGTCCCCCTTTCTATAGCTTTTGCATCCTGGTCCAGATGTTCTAGAACAGCGATGGCTATACTATGGTACTGCAGCTGTTGTGGACTGTTTCCCACCTTGCCCACGTAACAGGCTGGCTGAGAGTCAAATGAAAATAGTACACAAACGGCTGAGGTTTAAAAAGTTAGACATAACTAAATGAGAGTATTATAGAAATAAAATAAATTTTCCCAAATCCTAGCACAGAACCAGTGTTTTAATCCCACTGCCTAGATCAGTGTTAACATAGTAAATAGATTTTGATGGCAGATGCAAGCTATTAAACAATCCATCCTGCTGTTTTTTTTTTTTATTATTTCTTAGTAGAAACACATGCTTTATTTTAAAATGTTGAGTGTTGTCCCTAAAGCAGCTATTGACCTAATAAGCAGATAAGCATCAACTACACACATGCTTTCTTATCATGATAAAGAGTTATACTAGAACAGCTAAGGTCCACAGGTAACCTGAGCCGGAATCTGGTACACAGTACACCTAACGTATCTGGCATCTCGCTCACGCCCCCCCAACATGGCTGAAAATTATAATGGTGCATTATAGGATTCTGTCACGGAGTTGAAATTGCCCTTTGTGCCAGTTTGCCAATGCCTCAATATCTATGCAGAAACTGCCCTTTTCTGATTGCTACTTTTTAATCCAATGCCCAGCCTTCATTAATTTAAAGGGACACTATAGTCCCAAGAACCACTACATGTTAATGTAGTGGTGCTGGTGTCTATAACCTGCTTCTGCAAGCTGTTCAATGTTAAAGCTGCTTTTTCAGAGAAAATGCAATGTTTACGTTGCTGCCAAGTAACACCTCTAGTGGTAGTCACTCAGATGTCCACAAGAGGTGTTTCCTAGTCCAGTGTGCAGCACTGGCATTCAGCGTCTCCACATTCTGCAGGGTTAAGACAGCCACTAGTGGCTGTTTTCCAGGGTGCCACTAGAGGCATTTCCTGCATTCCATGAAACAATATTGGACATCCTCATGCTTTGCATGATGATGTCTAGCGTCTTCAAAACAAGAAAAGCACTGATTCTATGCTTTCCTATGGGAAAGTTCTAATGCGCGTAAGGCGCGCATGCTCATTAGGTCCTCCGTCAGCATGACATCTCTAGAGGAGGAGACATAGCCCTTGCCAAGGGACCTTGGAGCTGGAATTAAGGTAAGAGTTAAAAGGTTGTTTTTCTTTACCCTTTCAACACCGAGGTGGGGGCGGCAGAAAGACACTAGTATTAGGAATACAGTTATGTATTATTTTAAATCTCTTGTTACTACAATGTCACTTTATAAGCCCCCATTACAACATAATGTGGCTGTTAAGACAGCTTTACACCTCGTTAAATCTGTCTGTCAGGCAAGTGTTACTCCTCTCTGCTGAGTGTCAGTGTTACTTTGTCTAGTGATGGACAAGAGTTGCCCCTTCTTCTGTGCGGTCAAGCTAGAGTTACCCACCCCATCATATGTCAGGGCAATAATACTTCTCCTCAACAGCTGCCAGTAAAGAGATTTCTTATAACAAGCTCAATGTTATGCTGCACTCCTCAGCTGTCAGGACAGTTACCTTGCTCTCCCCAATTCTGAGGACACTGTTACCTTGCTCTCCTTATTTCTGTAAAGACAATTACACTGCTTTCCCCAGCTGCTACGGTAATTTTAACCCCAATATAGAGAACAGTTTTACCCTAATGTCGTTAATTCTGAGAACAGTGTCACCCTGTTCTTCTCAGTTGTCAGGAAATTGTCCGGCTCTCCCCAATTCTGATGGCAATGTTACCCTGCTCTCCCTGGCTGTCAGGACAATGTTACCCTGCTATTCCAGTTTTGATGACAATGTTATCCGACTGTCCAGGCAGTCAGGATATTATCACCATGCTACCCCCAATTCTAAGGACAATGTTACCGTACTCTCACAGGCTGTCAGGACAATATTATACCCTGTTCTCTCATGCTCCAAGGACAATATTACTCTGCAATCCCAGCTCTAAAGGACAATATTACTCTGTAATCCAAGCAGTATCCCAACTGTCAGGACAATGTTACCCTGATACCCTAGCTGTCAGGACAATGTTACCCTGATACCCTAGCTGTCAGGACAATGTTACCCTGACACCCTAGCTGTCAGGACAATGTTACCCTGATACCCCAGCTGTCAGGACAATGTTACCCTGATACCCCAGCTGTGAGGACAATGTTACCCTGATACCCCAGCTGTGAGGACAATGTTACCCTGATACCCCAGCTGTGAGGACAATGTTACCCTGATACCCCAGCTGTGAGGACAATGTTACCCTGATACCCAGGCTGTGAGGACAATGTTACCCCTCCTTCACGCCCTGTCCCCAGGTGCCCGAGCTATGTTCTATCCCCATTATGTGTCCCCCAGCAGTCAGTCTTTGTGTCCCCCCCCAGCAGTCAGTCTTTGTCCCCCCCACCCAGCAGTCTTTGTCCCCAGCAGTCAGTCTTTGTCCCTCCCCAGCAGTCAGTCTTTGTCCCCCAGCAGTCAGTCTTTGCCCCAGCAGTCAGCTTTGCCCAGCAGTCGTCTTTGTGGTCCCCCCAGCAGTCAGTCTTTGTCCCCAGCAGTCAGTCTTTGTCCCCAACAGCAGTCTTTGTCCCCCCAGCAGTCAGTCTTTGTCCCCAGCAGTCAGTCAGTCTTTGTCCCCCAGCAGTCAGTCTTTGTCCCAGCAGTCAGTCTTTGTTTCCCCCAGCGTCAGGTCTTTGTTTCCCCCAGTCTCGCCAGTCAGTCGTTTCCCAGCAGTCTTTCCCCCCAGCAGTCGTCTTTTGTGTCCCCCAGTCACAGAGCTCCTTACTTGCCGAGCTCCTCATACAGCTGATATTCGTCCGTGAAGCGGGTGCAGGTGGCAGGGGTGGCCATACTAATACCGGGGGAGCTTCTCTCGCATCGGGCGGGCTGCGGGCTGTCAGCTAGGAGGCAGTGAGATCTCCTCTCCTTCTTCCTCTGCGTCTCTCCCTCCTCCTCCTCCTCCGGGGCGGCTCCTGCTCGGCCCCCCTCCCGCTCCCTCCTCCTCCTCCTCCTCCTCCCCCGCTGCCGGCCTCTGGGCGCCTCCGTCTGTCTGCCGCCCCCTGCCCCCTGCCGGCGGTGAGCACTGGGAGCTGCTGTCAGTGTGCTCCTGCTGTGCTCTGTCTGCGGGCTGGGGGGGGCTGGGGGGAGACAGGCAGCGGCACTGCAAGACCTCTGTGGGACACGCCCCCCTTCCTGCGGACTCCCAGCTCGGGTGGGGGGCAATGGAGGCAGACTGAGGGGGATGAGAGGGTCCTGGTACTAAACTTGGTTCCCTGTAAGGATGTGTTAGCTCAGCTCTCCGGGCTGGCAGGCAGGCAGGCTGTGAGGATGTCTGAGGGGGGGGGGAGGAGTGTGGCTGCTAAAAGTCCTGGAAGGTCAATAAATCACCTATATTATATCTCCTCTACATGGAAAATAACTATCTGCCAAAAATAATAATAAATAAAACAAACTGTGAGCTTCTTTGATGCAGGCCTGCATTGTTTTGCAAGCATTGTAGTGTCCCTTTAACCCCTTCAGTCCCATGAGGAGCTTCTTTTCCATTATTTATTATTATTATTATTGTTGTTTGTATAGCGCCCGCTGCACAATATTATAAATGGGGGAATTTCAGCAATAAAGGAGACAATAACAAAATGTTACAAGAACACTAGGTAGATGAGGACCCTGCTGAAAGGAGCTAACAGGCTAGCATTTCCCCTCCTAATATATTATATTATGACTGTTATTATTGGCATTTATATAGCGTCAACTTATTCCGCAGCGCTTTACAGTGTTATAAAGCAGGACGTTTAGTGATAAATTGGACAATTACAAAATGTTACAGGAACAATAGGTTGACGAGGACCCTGTTCAAAAGAGCTTTCGATCTAGAGGTCAAGAGGAGTATATAATGTGTGTCCATTAGGCCTTCCAGTTGTTTCAAAATCCCCCACCTCTTACCACCCCATGGGAGTTTACGTACAATCTAGATATCTTCTTTTTTTTTTTATAAACCCTTTTACATATTTTATCACCCTGTAGTACTTATCATCATTATGGTCCAGTAGGGTTAATACATGATCTCTGCCAACAGTAAAGGAAAACATATAGAGTTAGGAATATATAACTGTATTCATAACACTATAGTGCCTTCTGCCCCCTTTATCCCTCTCCCTGCCCATGGCAAATAAAGGGTTAAAAAAAAACCTTTTTACACTTATCTGATTCCAGCGACACTGGGTCAAACTCCTCCTCCGCCGAGGTCTGCCAGTGGGGAGGCCCTACTGCACATGTGCGGCAAGGCACACACAAATTAGACCTTACCCGTAGTAAAGCATTGCCTCAATACTTTCCTAGTGGGGATTGTCAATACGCAGAGCATGAGGGCGTCCAGCATCGTTTCACATAGTCATACTCCGTGAAGCTCCAGGAAGCGCCCCTAGTGGCTATAAGCAGTCTTAACCATTTAATGTAAATGTAGTTTCTCAAAAACTACAATGTTTTAAATTACAGGGTTAAGAGAACAGGGACACTGCACCTAGACCACTTCAATGAGGTGAAGTGTCTGGGTGCCTATAGTGTCCCTTCAATATACACACACTCTTAATAATATTTATATTTATTCATCTTTTTTAGAGGAGTGTCTGTGTAGATAGATAGATATACAGAAAGACAGACAGATAAATTGAAAATAATATTCATGTATGTATTTATTATCAAAATGACGTTCCTGATATTTCAAGTGGGACCTCACAAAAAAGTTCTTGTGTAGCTAGGTGGCCTAACCTACCCGTAGGACCTTAAGGAAACTTAAAATTGCAGCTAACATATTATGACAGTATATTCATGTAGAGATGCATTACCTGTAATTTTGTTACATCTACACACACAGCCTTTGGGTGCAAAGGCGTACCTAGCTTAAATGGCACCTAAGGCGTAAATGTATTTTGGCACACCGCCCAAACAAAAATGTTGTTTCTCCCTCGGCACCACCCCAACCCTTTTTTGTTAGGATAATTACACAATTGCACACACATACTAACATTCATATTCACATTTGCACAAATATATTCATATATACACACATGGACATATATTTACAGAAACACACGTTAATATACATACAAACAGACTCCTATGCAGTCATGCACACATACTCATGCACACACATTCATACACACACATATTTACATCCGAATACATACTTATTATATATATATATATTTATGATAAGGTCCACCCAGTCTCCCTTTTCTTACATGATTACAATGGTTATGTGCATAGACGTATGTAATATCATTAGAAGTAATACAATTCATCTGCATGTAAACATACTATAATAATGCCTAACCTTTAATTTTGTCTTATTTGAGGTCCCATGAGCAAGTTATACCACTCAGCTATGTATGTTCTTAGTGCCTGCAGAAAATATGTGTATAAATTAAAAATGAACCCTTTCAGGTGTTGGCACCTAAATCCAGGGCCAGTTTATGAGCCCAGAGGGCCCGGTGCTGACAATTATGAGGAGCCTAAGTACAGAATCTTATCAACTAAAAACACTAAAACAGTCAACCCTAGTGTCCCTAGTGTCTCAGTGTCCCCATGTGTGTCTGTGTCCCCATGTCTCCTAATGTCCCCTAGTCTCTCAGTGTCCCCTAGAGATCTCAGTGTTCCCAGGTCTCAGTGTCCCCTAGTGTCTCAGTGTCCCCATGTCTGCCTGTGTCCCATGTCTCCAAGTCTCCCCAAGTGTCTCAGCGTACCCAGAGGTCTCCCTGTCTTACAGTGTCCCCTAGTGTCTCCTGTGTCCCCATATCTCCCTGCAGCCTTTACCCCATCCCTCACTTCCCTGTGCTGTAGGCTGTCTCTGCAGGCTGGGAGCTGCTGTCTGGACTCTATGTGCAGGACTGGCCCTTGACTTTTAGGCGCCCTGTGCGAAATATTTTCACAGCGCCCCCTGGCCACATCCCTCACTAGCCACTTCCTGTTCTCTGTGTCTAGTGCCAGTGTGTTTGTAGTGTCAGTGTTTGTGATTTCAGAGTATGTCTACGTTGCATTAGGTGAGTACCTGTAGGGAATGTCAGTTTCTGTGTGTGTAAATATGTAGATGAAATTGTGTATGTTTGTAACTGTTTGGGTGTTGTCGTGTGTGTAGATGCAGAGACTGAAAATGTGCCTTTTTCTCACAGGTTTATATCTCCTTATATTCTCACATATCTTTATCCCTTATTTCTGCCCATTTGTCTCTCCTCCGTTACTCCCCAATGTGTTTCTACCCATCTATTTCATATGTTTATCATTCTACTTATATTCACACTTGTCTATTTTAATCCATCTCTCTCCTGTCTGTCTATTAACCATCCTTCCCTCACTGGTATCTCTCACCTACCCTTTGCTATAACTGACACTCATGCTCTGCACACACATCTCCATTCTGTACTTATATTTCTCCATCATTTCCCATCACCAATTCTTGTTTATCCTGTATCCCATTTGTCTCTCCTTATACCAACACTTTCCAGACTGTGTCTCCCCTTATTTCCAGCCCAGCTGTCTCTCTTTTATATCCACCCATCTCTCATTTATCCCATCCCCATTATCCCCCTGTGCTTCCCCCAGTTCTAATCTCTGTTGTCTCTCTATTCCACCCCCTTCTTCAAGTATTACCTCTTTTGTATCTCCATTATCCCCCTGTCCCTTCTACATTTCTAACCTCTATTAGCCACATGGCACTTACTTCATCATCAAAGTCATTCTGTCACACTGTCTCCCAATCTCAATTTCCCTCATACTGTGCTTTCCTATCACCCAAAAAGTGTCCATATTAATAACTTACCATTTTGTGCTGGACAAGAGTGTTAGGTGTTGATCTTCCTGTGCACTCCCTCGCAGAGCTCCAGATAGAGCATACCTCCACCTCCGATGACTCTGCACCGGGAAACTCCTGCAGGCAGTGTGAAGTCAGAGTACCCATGTGCACTCTCTGTCTCTGACTCTAACAGCAGGGAAGACACAGCAGGGAGAGCTCAGCTAGTCTTCCATCTCCAAGGTGAGAGGAGAGTCCTGGCACATTGAAATCTCTAAGATAGCCTGCCTGTCAGTAGAACTTGCGAGCTGTGTTGGCCCCATGGGCCCCTGTTACCATGGCGCCCCGTGCGGCCGCACAGCTCGCACACCCCTAAGGCCGACCCTGTCTCTGTGCTGTGTAGCTGCTCCCCTGCGGATCAGTGAATAGAGAGAAGCAGGTATATGCTGTAACTCTGTTTATACTGAGAAAAATACCAGCGTTTGTATTGCCGGTGTTACTGCAATATCAGCACCGGCCAGGAAGCCTCAAATAAATACCGTCCAGTTTGCAACCCTAAGAGTAGTGTGTAAAAAAAAAAAAATATTATTTTTTTTTTAAATCAATGGGCCCATTCCACGGGCATGGGCCTGGAGCTGCCGCTCCATCAACCCCTATGTTAATCCGGCCCTGCCTAAATGCCATGTCGAATAGACATGTCCTGAGTGAGCTCTGGGTGTTTATACAATTTTTATACAATTATTAACAGCTTTTGGGAGACTTTTGACTCAATGGTGATTCAAGAGAGCATTTAATCATCTCTAGCCTTGGTTGGGCTCCACACAAATGACATTTACTTTCCCTATTCGGACACGTTCCCAGCACACTCTACAGCGGAGAAGGCTGAGTACCAAGCTTGAAAAGGACTCCCCGGGAGAGTGGAGTTTCAAAGGGGACATTGTTGCTATCATACTTACTAGGTTTATCTCATCCCCACAGATTAACACCACTCCTGTTATTT